CTTTGCGTGCCTGATAATAACTATTAAAAAAAAAAAAAAAAAATCAGAACTTTCTCATTTGTAGTGTCCTTAAAAATATTATAATTACATACACACACAAAAAAGACAAATATTGAAAGTTTTGTAAATATATTTTCTGTGTAGTTTTATAATTGTGATTCTCTTGATAATTGTATGTTCGAATCACATACTTCTTCTACATTCTTGGCATTACATACATTAAACAAAAGTTTTTTGGGGATTTCATAAAAAAAAAAAATATTTCGAATTCTAATGCTGTATATGTATAAATTTTGAAAGTTTTAACTAGTCACAATGGAAAAAAATAATAATAATATTTGTATAAAAAAATGGTTTAATTTTTCATTTAATTAATATAATTTTTAACTGTTCTTATCAGTATTATATACTAAAAAAAACAATGATTTTCCTCGACCTTAATTCCTTTTTGTACAGGAAAAAAAAAAAACATGTTTGACATTGCCAAAATTAAATTTTGACACAGTTTTTTTCATGTCTACTCATTATAAAATTGTATAAATTTACTGAATGCCTTTATATACAGGTCTATCCAAATGATGTACTTAGATATAGTCTAGCTAATGTTTAGAATCGTTGTGTCGGCTGTATAAGCGTGTGCGAGTAAAATGCACACACACACACACGCCTATACGGTTTAGTACAGTGTATATAGATACACTGTGTTTGTGTATAAAATTAAAATATATACATAGACACAGTATATACCATATATATGCCTTGTACATATTATAGCGTACGTTAGTCAACTCTCATCTAACAATCCTGGAATTTATCTTATTATTTTATTATTATTGTTTTCTTTATTATTATTTTAAAAATAAATTTACAATTTCCAGGAGATATCAAAATATTGTATAGACTTATATATGTGTTGTATTAGATATATTTTTTAATTAGAAGATGTCAATTCAGACCCGTACTGTACAGTACATTTCTTATGTAAACGGTCCAAAAGATGGGGGAAAAGATTCACGAGAGATTATTTGTAGTTGTCAAAAGTAGAAAAAAAAAACGGTCCCTTTTTATTTGATTTTTTTTTAAAAATCTTCTGGTAATATGTAAATCTCAAATAGTTAATAACGTGCATGAAAATTTACCGTCTGCTTGAAGTCTGCGTGCAAGTGTTCAAAGCTGTATGCCTCTGTTTTCTTCTCAGATGAATAAAAATTGTTTAAACTATAATAGAAACTTTTGGTAATATTGTTAAGACACATAACCTTGAACCGTGGTGTCTTGTGTTCGAAGTTTTAATTTACATAAAAACCTAAAGCCGGCAGGAAGGTAAATCTCGTCTTTCCTCTTCGGAATAATAATAAATTAAGAGAAAATTCGTTGGAAGTTTTACGCTGAGAGTAATAAATTATGGCTAATCTATGGTTCCCCATCGATGCCACTCGGGGGACTATCGCTCTTAATTCTCGCTACGTCATCTCTGCCTGCCGGATACCGTTTCGTTCGCCATACTGAATTAACAATGGAAAATATGTTTAATTTTACACGTTTAATCGTTTCCATTTTCCTACGTCCGAACTCTTCAATATGTAAATTTTTCCGATTAAAAGTTTCGCGACGTTAAATGACGTCGGTGATGCGGAAACATTTCGCATCGCGTATCTCTCGCGACGCGATGCGCCAGTCGAATGGTTCCTCTTCTCCATTAAACCGAAACTAACAACTCTTTTTTTTCTTTCCGGTTACACGAATTTTAATCGCCACTCTAAGTTAAACTTGTAATTAATTAAAAGTAGAATTATTCTAATAAGAATAGGGCTGGCAAATTATATTACAGTTATGGACAGCTAGTAAGAAGGAAAACAATTAGAGAACCACGTTACCAGAGAGAGAGAATGGACGACCGTTTCGTAGATAAAAGTCGATGGATTTCTTTTTCTTTACATTTAATTAAATTATCAACTGATTAGAGGGAAAGGGAAAATACGGCCATGGCTTAGAAGGAGTAATTTCTAAACTTCTTTTTGTTTTTAGTTTCGATAAAAGGATGGAGGAAAGGAAAGGAGCCAACGTAGAAAAGAGCTTAATTTAAAAATAAAGCTTGACCAAAAAAAAACATTTCCCCTTCGAAGATCGTTTGAAAAATGTCGGAGTTTGTAAAGGAAAGAAAAATCTCCTCTTGTCAGATTCGTCGAAGATAAGGCAACCGCGCATTTGAGGTCGGTATTAGTCCGGAGAACCTTGGCTTCCTACATATATTTTAAAGAAAATTTCCCGAGAAATTTCCCCGTAGGAGAAAGGGGAAAAGTTTTTCCCTCCCCACACACGCTAAATAGGGAAATTACTACTCATTTACTTTACGGTTACGTAAGTTAAATAAACGACGCAATGGTCCGTCTTTTGAAACGAAACGGGAATTTTAATTTGAAATAATGTTTTCTCCGGTAGAATTAGCATTTTCGGAAATTTTCTACGAATATTAGGAATAAATTTATTGTTCGGATGAATGCCGACGAAGGAGATTTGGCCACGGTAATTTTCGTGCCTAATAAAATAAAAACGGAACTAAAAATGGCCGCCGTATTGTCTAAAGTGCCACTTACTCTGTCCTCCATTAAGTTAAGTTTTCGCCGATTTTCCTGTTAAATTTCGGCTAAATCTTCGAAAAGTTACGTTCGGAACGGTTGCGTTATTCGATAACGGTAACGTAATACGTAAACCGGATACGTCTACCGGAATTTGCGACGGTCGGAAGATGTTGCGCTATCTGAAGACATCATCCGCCACTTCGTCACTGATGAAATGCTCCGGAGCTTCCGCACGATACTCCATTTCTAAAATATATTTCGGAACGATTAAAAGTTAATCTGGTAGAAGGGAAATTTCATTCGACATTTCTTCTCTTTATTATTGTATTTTTCGTCATCAATTGGATTTTTCGGCGAAGTTACAAGAGAGATCCCGGAGTCCAATTTCTCCCATCCTCTTCGATTTTCCCTGATTTTTTTGCCATTCATTTCTTTAATCGAATTCGCTTTTTTCGTGGAATTGATCGTTAAATTCAAATTGTAATAATCGATAATTTTCGCACGAAAATTAATGGTTATGCTAAAGAAAGACCATTGCAGAGTACATCCTTTGCCCATTGCAAGTGCATCATGAGGAATCGAGCCGTTTCCGAAGCAATTAGACGACGTCTCGAGAGCGATTTCGTTTATTTACGGACTTTTTTTCTTATCGGGTTTGATGACTCCATACAAACAAGGCGATTGGAATTTTCGTTATTTAATGGAGGACGGCCATTAATCGATGTAATAATTGCTTTAGCGTTTTCTTCCAGCTTTTACGATGGAGAAACACGCAAAAAAACCAAGACGTTTCTCACGAAATAC